ATCTTATTTTTATCCTTTTATTTATTTATTTTTTTAACTTACTGAAAATATCATTTCTGGCATGTCAGGTGTTCAGCACTTTGTGTTCAGCACTTTGTGTTCAGCACTTTGTGTTCAGCACTTTGTGTTCAGCTGGGAGTTGTTCTGAAAGTGCTATATAAATAAATTGCTTGCTTACTGTTGCACATATACATGTTTGCACTCTCTAAGGCCCGTGGCACTTTTTTTTTTATCCTACTGCGGTAACAAACTCCCTTGCGGGATGAACAAATGATCTTTAGCCTTCTCTCTCCTGCAGTTTTTCTCCCCACCAACAGTCTCAGTGATCCTGTGGGACCAGACGGTCTCTGTGAGGTGCTGCTGTCTAAACAATGAGCTACAGACCTATGCAGAGCGTCAGGTAGAGCAGCCCCATCCTGATGTCCAGTCTGAAGAACAGGATCACATTGGCCACTTTGCTGAACAGGATGATGTTGCCCACATGTTGCTCCACAGTTACTGACACAAACAACACAGAGACACTTTCACGTTTTAGTCAATGCTTTAAAACAGATTAGCAGCAGATAATAAACAGTCCTAACGAACGATGAACACTTGGGCTGTTCGATATAACGTTTGATATCAGATGATGATATAAAACGTTTGAGTCTAAGGTTCATTTTTTAGCACCTGGCGGCTCTTTTTGCTTCTCATCCATAAACTCTCTGCATCTTTCACGTCATTCAGTTTATTTTGAAAAGTCTCAACAGATGGTTTTACCATCGTTGTTGCTAATGACAACGCATAAAAACAGGCGCTGGTCCGTCCGTAGTGCGGTTATATTAAATATAAGAGAAAGAGAGAACTTGAAGAAATTAATATAGCCAGTTTATTTTGCGACACCACGAAACAAACGACAGCGTAAAATGAAACGACAGATCTTTTTATATCATCATCAGATATATATGTTATATTGAACAGCCCCAGGCTTTTCCCCGCAGCACGCCGTGTAACAAATACTCACAAAGAAAACGGCGCCGTTACAACTTATGTCTAAAAATGTATCATTTCATGCATCAGTTAAAACACTCGACTCAGCTACACGACGCCCAGCTGGAAACACTTCACGCAAGACGAGCTGCCCGAGATTCACAGAATTTACAGAAAATGTTAAATGTTTGTGATTTATATCGTTATCGGGACGATAGATGTTGGGATATGAGATTGTGGTCATATCGCACAGCCCTAATGAACGCGATGATGCAACATCTTTCAATTTCACTACTAAATGTGAAACAGAGCTCTGTAACGGGCTGAATCACAGAGCGCTGGATAACACACAACTCATCCACACTATGAAAAAGACATTTACTCACTCGCCCGGCGGTTCTTCATCATCACGATGGCACTGAGGAACATGAGGATCTCCACCTCTCTCTGAGAACACAAACATGGCCTTTGTTACTCTGCGTCTCTGCTCCACTCTCACAGCCTCTACAGCTCTGACACCGTTTGCTAACACAGCATTTCCCATTTGACTGGTTGTTGTTTACACCTTTGTTACTCAGCTGGTTTCAGAAACAAACACTAAACTGTGAGATGAGCAGAGAGAACACTAAGATGATTTTTATTTTAGCTCTGGACAGATGTTAAAGCCCTGTTCTGATACTTGCACAGGTGCTGTCTCTTCTGTCAAAACAGCAACTGCAAATAAAGCACCACATCTGCCAAATAAGTCATTTACAGTGACAGTCAGACTGTGAGGAAACAAAGGCATGAACAGTTGTTTCTAATTCCAATTTGGACACATTGTTCTCATAGATGTAAAACACAGTATTGCATGAGGCCAGACCATCAGTACAAACAGTTGTGCCCAAGTACAAGTTACTCAGATATGTCACCACTAGGGCTGGGCCATATCAGACCGTTCACGGTAATACCGGTATAATGTCGGGCAATGATAAGAAAATGAAACATGGCGATAGAAATATGGCTTCACCCTCTCCACAGAAAGCTCCACTCAATTTTGCAGCCTCCCATTTGGACAAGCCGAAGGCTTCTTGAGAAAGGTTTTATGCCCGGACATGATGAAGATTGAGCTCTTTGGCTATAATAACAAGACTCATGTTTGGAGGAGTCAAGTTGAGGGAAACCTAAGAACACCGTAGCAACTGTCAGGCATGGCGGCAGTAGGGCTGTTGCTGCCAGTGGTACTGGTACCCTGCACAATGTGGATGGAGTAATGAAGACAGAGGAGAAGGACTACATGCAAATTCTTCAACTTCACCTCAGATCAGTGGCTAGATGGTTGAAACTTAGAAGCAATATGATGTTCGACCAGGACGAGGAACCCAGGAACATCACAACTGGTTCTGCAGACTAATGTTAAGTTTGACCTCTGACCCCAATTTGTGGACTATGCCTGGGCTAAGAAACCAACCAATTTAAATGAACTCTTCCAGTTTCTTAAAGAAAAGTGGTCAAATATCCAGACAGGATTATGCCAGAAGCTTATTAACCAAGTGTCTGGTTTGGGTGCAACTTTGTAAGACACATATATTCTTTTTCTTTTAAAAGTCACTAGAGATTTATGCAGCACACCAAAGAACCATTAAAAGCCCAACTTTACCACAACATTCATGAGTGTATATAAACTGTAAGAGCTCTAACGGGACATTAAATTCGGTTCCGTTTGGCTTTTATTATTATTATTATTATTATTATTATTATTACTACAACAACCCTCATTCTCTGTGATACCCCGATTTTGCCTCCCCTCCTGCAACCTTCAGGACCAACACAGTAACACTGACACCCCATGTTTATTCTTGTATTTTAACAGACCTTCAATGATATGCCGTAAGCAATAAAACACATTAATCAACAGCGGAAAACTACAAATGAGTCGTTTTCACTTGTGTATCTTAGTCAACAAGTCCAGCAACATCAATGAGTTGCTTTTTGGCCGCTGTTTGGCCTGACAGCTAAAGTCATCTGGCCCTCGTTACCATAGCCTGTGCATTGGTCCAGCATTCACTGACCGGCTAGCTGCTAACACATTCGGGAAAACGACCAGACTTTCTGGCTTTTTCTACGGACCCAGTCGAAGTCGCAGGAGTTGCCGTCTTCTCGCTGTGTGGCCAGACGGTCACAGATGCCGGGCGTCTTGCGGACAGCTAGAAACGCTATAGACATGAAGAGAGATGCTACATAATATGGCTTCAGCAGCCACTTGTACACCTGCGGTAGATGGTACAGAAAAGCGAACAATGGCGTCAACAAAGCCATCTTGAAGCTAACTGTCGTACAACAACTAGCCCGGGAAATAAACCCCGTAAAGACGGAGGTCAGCAGTGCTAAACCGTTAGCTTAGTATAAATGGCTCTGCGCTAGCAGAGCAACGTGAAGGGGGTCGGAACCACAGCTTCCGGCATAGATGTTAAAAATAAAAGCATTGAATTTTATATTGTGGATCGTTACTTTTGAATTCAACCTTTTTTGTATATCTTTGTAGTCATTTAATGGAAAAAATAACGATGCGATAGATATTTAAACGCACTGCCGCTGTTTCTAGGCCTAAAATGACGCATGTCGCCTTTTAATTTGAAGCTGGCAGGACTAACGTCCTGTGTAAGTGTAAGCTGGAAGATGCTACACGTTCAGTTTTATGGAGCACGCGCAAAAATTGTGTTTCACGTTTTTGCGCGCGTGCGATTCTTTTGTTTACAGCTGTGAATTAGTTTTTTTGTTTGTTTGTTTTTTTGTGTGAATTATCTAAGTTCTGTACTCCTTATTACGTCAGTAGATAGCGCTCACAGGCTCAACGCATGCGCAACTCAGAAATAAATGACCTGGGCACGATGATGTGTCTACACATGAAAGAAAAATAAACATAAACCGATTTGAAATAGCATCTTCAGGCATTTTGTTACTAACAGCCTGTTGCAGTTATGTGTTGAGATTTCTTTTATTCAATCTATATTAAAAAAAACTGGAGAAAAAGAGAAGAGAAAGAATTGACAGGCCTCAAAAACTTCATCTACAACAGATAAACTGTATCATGTCCAGGACCTGAAAGACCTCATCAGAAAGATTTGTATGCCACTCCATCACATGTATTGACATGAGGTGAAAGTAAATGTTGCACCGAGCTCCTGGTTAAAAGCCACGAATGAGAGTCCTCAAGAGAAACATCTAGAAAAACAAGGAAAAGAAAATTTCACATAAAATTTCACAACATGTGAAGTTACAGCCCAATTTCTCCAAATGTATTAGAAAAACAGATAAGTCCTAAACTCCTTGATATGCTGATGTTATGTCAGTAATTGATGCAGACATCAAATGTTAAGCCTGTACACACTTTGTCATGGATATAAGAGGACTGATAAAAAACAAAGGTGTACTAATAAATAAATCACAAATGTTATTCGAGTCATCTGATTTATTCTAAATTGGAAAATAATTTTCTGTCCACCATTTGTGTGACTAACAGTCTCACCTGCAGGTGGCTGTTGTTGTAATCTGGTAACATATAGATAAAACTGGATTGTGCTGTACAGACACTAAGGAGTCCTGTCATGCCAGTGTGCAATCACACAACCCTTACTGGAGAAAAGGCAATTTGGAAATTTCGATGACATTACAATTGTTGTACATTACTGTAAAATCAGTGCTGTGAGAGTGAATTTAAGATCACAGCCTGATTTAAAACACAATCTAACATAAAGGTTATTGCCCCTGGAAATAGCTGTAAGATATTAAGACAGTGAGATGACAGGATGGCCAAAAATGCACTTTGAAATGAGATCTTCTTGTTTCATTGGAACAATAAAGTACGATGACAAAGAATAAGTGCACCTATGTAAGAACGAGTATCACTGCTAAGGAGTTTAATGTTTTACATGCAGACTCGGCTGCTTGTCTCCTCTTGGCATTTTCTTATTTAAACGTTGGAAGCTGAAAATGTAGCAGCACAACACTGTTTCCTTTTCCCATCAAACATTTCTTTCAGTCATCTGTTTATCAGTGTGATATGTGACTAATATTTTTTAGTAAAAACCAATAACCACAAAATACACAAATA